AAAGAGAGAGAGAGAATAGAGAAAAAGTCAGAATAAATATAATAACTTATATATCCAGCGGTTATATAAGTTAATCTACAATATAACACAGTTTGGTATTAAACTCGTGTTAAATAAGTTGGTATTATTATCCCTATAAGAGTCAATACCTGCGCCTCTTTAAACTTGGTATCATTGAAACGATCGGATGAGTGAAGCCATTGGCTGTTCGGACGGTTTGAGTCGTTTGGCTGTGAAGTCAATGGAGAAGAAGAAGTGGAGGATTGTGTGCCAAATGAAGCGTCTTTTAGTAGTTTTTGGTCCAATGAATTCATATTAGTGTCACTCATCATCGCTTCCAGTGTGGCGTCCATTGGGGCGTCTCGTCGTCGGCGCCGTCCGGCGGCCACCGTTGCCGTAATCGGTATAACCATTGGTGTAAATAAGTAGGAGAGCATCGGTGCCAGTATTAGAGGCAACGTTGCCAACAGTAGACCTCCCGGTCCGAGACCTCCTAAACGTAAACAAAACATTAGATTATGTCAAACGATAACAAAATTTTGTTTTAATACAAAACGGTTTTGCGATCGTAAATCACTTGATAAACAAACATGTCTTGTAATGCATGTAATGAATTGGGAGTTGAGTTTTAGACATACCTTTAAAATATTTGCCCGCATTATAGCCGCCATAACCGGCGCCATAGCCGGGACCGTAACCCGAGCCATAACCTCCGGAGCCATAACCCCCAGAACCATAGCCAGAGCCGACGCCGCCGTAACCGTATTGATTGCCATAGGATTGGTATGGGTTGGAGGCGCTGGTAGAGTGCGGGTCCACCGGATCTAACGGATAGGGCGGGTATTTGACGCCCTCAGCGCTAGAGCCGGCGGGTGTTAGCGGTCCGTCGTATGGGTCTCCCGGACGCGGGCCGTAGAAGTACTGCCCGCGAAACTCTATGATCTCCGGCCTTTGCATATAGCCATAGACAGCGCTTTCGGTTTGCTTATGGCCGAGATCTGGGTTACGTCGGACTGCAAACAGTGAAAATGTTATTAATTTGTTATTTCTTTTGGACGCAAATGTTTTTTCAATGCAAAGAGGAATTTGTTTTTATACATAATATACTCCAGACTTCAAGAGTCAGTGTTTGGTTATAAAGATTAATCTATTGAACACAACACAAAAGCAGCACTTATTCTCTCAAGAGTTGTCTCTCAATATTAATGAATCTCCAGTCAAGAGAGAGAGAGAGAGAGAGAGAGAGAGAGAGAGAGAGACTGTAATATGGTGTGAAGATGGATGACTTACTGGGCCCTCCCTGTCGTTTACGGTAGCTGTTGGCAGCCGAAGATCGGGACGGCTTGTGGTGATTGTTGCGAGTCTTAGTGATGGAATAGGCGGCCACGGGTACAAACAT